AGTTTGAGGTTGGAGATATGGTGTATCTCAAGATGGCGATGTTGCGTGGTCCTAACAGGTCCCTTACCGAGACTAAGCTGAGTCCGAGGTTTATGGGTCCTTTCAGGATTGTGGAGCGGGTTGGACCGGTGGCTTATCGGTTGGAGTTACCTGAGGTAATGCATGCTTTTCATAAGGTATTCCACGTGTCGATGCTGAGGAAGTGTCTTCACAAGGATGATGAGGTGTTGGCTACGATCCAGGCGGATCTTCAGCCTAGCATGACCTTGGAGGCGAGGCCAGTGAGGGTTCTCGAGAGGCGGGTAAAGGAACTTCGATGTAAGAAGATTCCTTTGATGAGAGTCCAGTGGGACTGTGATGGAGTCTTGGAGGAGACGTGGGAGCCAGTGGCCAGGATGAAGGCAAGGTTCCGGAAGTGGTTTGACAAGCAGGTCGAGGAGTACACCGTTGGCTTATTTGGTTTTTGAGTTTGGTTTTTGTTGTATCTCTTTTGTATTCTCATTTTTGGTGTAATGATTATGACATTGGAGATTAATAAGATGAATATTTCTTGGATTTGACTTGTTGTGTCATGTGTAAGAGAAATATGTGTGAGTTTCTAAAAATAGAAAGTGTCGGGTTTGACGGTTCTATTTTTGGAAAGTCTCGGGGTGGTGGTTAGTATAGCATTGCGATGTTATAAGTGGACCACGGGAGGTATATCTGATCGAGAGATATGCTCGGGGGCGTTTAGACTTATTTGCTCGGATATGATGTGATGGCCTCGGATGACGATTCGAGTGCACGCTTGAGGGTGACGACCCGAGAGCGAGCGTGTGACTTCCCGGATACCGTAGCTAGAAGGCGGGTGGCCTAATAGTGAGCCGGTATGACTTGAGGGTTGCGACCTGAGAGCGGGGGAAGTGGTGAGGCTTCCTGGATACCGTAGTCTAAGGCTGAGGCCTGAGGACGAGCCGGTATGATCCACGGGTTGCGACCTATGGACGGGGGAGGTGGGTGTGTATGAGCAAATAGGGTCTGGAACGCGAGTATATTGATTAGATAGGGGCCTCGGTGAGGTCAGTTGTGTACTGACGGTTGTGTTGGAGGATTCGGGGATGAATCCTAGTTAGTGGGGGAGAATTGTAACGCCCGTGTCTGGAAATCCGGGTGGTGTCGATCGACACTGTGGTCGGGTGTCGATCGACACTAGTAATTGTGGGTTTGACGGTTTAAGTTTTTAAATCGTCGGTTCAATGGAGGCTTGGTTTGGGTTGGTTAACCCTAGGTCGTGCTTAAAAGAGGGAAGGTCGTGTGTTGTCTCTTCCCAGCCGCTTTTTAACACTTCCAGAGATAGAAAAAAAAAGGTTCTAGAGCTTCTGAGGGTTTTTGTGAGTCTTTGGTGGTGCTTGGTGGTGTTCTTGGTGGTTTAAGGCTAGTAGAGGCTAGATCAGTGTTGTGTGGTGTTAGAGGAGACAGATCCTTCCTTGTTCTTCCTTGTTTTCGTTGCTGTTCTTCTTGTTTAAAGAGGTGAGTGCATGACCAGGCTTATCTAAGCATGTTTGATCATTGTTTTAGGGTTTTGATGATTGTTTGATTGATTTCCTTTGCTTGTTTGGCTGTTTATTTGATGATTGATGCCTGTGGAATCCTTTGGAGACTCGTTCTTATCGTGGTGGTCTTTTGGAGAAGAAATCCAGTGAGAAACGCAGTTGGAGCGTCTGCAGAGAGTCGGTGTCGATCGACACCAAGGGTGGGTGTCGCTCGACACCAACGTTTCATCGCGCGAGGATAACTGCGTCTTACGATTGGAGTGTCGAGACCGGTGTCGTCCGCGAGGGTCGACAGCGAGTGTCGATCGACACCAGTGGAGGGTGTCGATCGACACCGATAGTCAGAAGCGATTCTGGTCTATCTTTTATTGGTTGTTTGGTTCTTTTCCTTGGATAATGGTTGAATGTGCTTGTGTGTATAGCCAGTGGTGGTATGATTGCCTCACTAAGTATTTATGAAATACTTATGCATCTCTTTCTTTGATGCAGGTAAAAGCAAAGTGTGATCCGTGGAATCATGGCGAGGAGAGGAGGATGATCTAGGCGCTCATTGGTGTTTAGATGATTGTAGGATTTGTTAGGATGCTAGAATGGAATTTAGAAGCATGTTAGGATGAATTCGTTTCTGGAATATTGATAGTTGAACTTGTTGGATTAATGGAATGGTTTGATTGGATTTTTGTTTAAGTCTTCCGCTGGTTACGTTGAGTTGGTTGTGTTAGTAAAATTGTCTGGGTTGCTTTAAAGGGGTTAATCCGGATTGTTTGCATGCTTAAAAGAAAAAAAAATGGGATGGGTTCTTTCACAAATAAATTTGTTTTTATTTGGTTTGCCAATATAAGCATGATTGTTATCCTACTAACTCATGTCATGTCCCAATATAAGGCATGTCACAATATTCGGTTTCCCAGTATAAGGCATGTCATTTTCGGTTTTCCAATATAAGGTTAGTCGATAATAATTTTGTTATCAAATAAATCTGTTGTTATTAAATAAATCTGTTTTATTCAGTTTAAACTGGTAACAAAAATGTAAACATGCTAATGGTCGCAGCGAACATCGAGGAGATGATGCTCTAGGTGCCACTCTCTGGGACACATTTTAGAAATAAATCTATGTTATTATTATACTAGTTATTGGTATAACATAACACTTACCGGATTTCTTCTCATTCTAATAGTTACCAGTATAACATAAGAATTATTAAACCGGAAGCTAATCGACAGTAAAACTTATTAGTTGTAAAAATTATCAACCTACGATAATTTTTACTTTGTAAAATTAGCCATTACTAGGACTTAAAAGACGTGTTTGGTTACATTGCATTTCTCATTAAAAGATGTCACGAGTGCCAATCATCTAATGATCATGATCACATAGCTCGCCTCTTTTGCCTGATAATAAATACATAATCTTCTAATGCTTTTGTTATCTAATATCCACAATGTTATGTTTTTGTCTACATACTTTTCTAAAATGTCAAATGTGTAGTTAGTGAATACCTTGTTGTATTTACTAATAATTTTTTAATTTATAAGATAAGACTTGTGACTTTAGTATACATACTAATTGTTATCTGGAATTATTGACTAATCATAATGATATCGAATAAACATAATGATATCCAATATGTTTGAAGATATCGTCGACATCATTTAATGCTGGAGGTGTGCGTATCTTTGCCAATATTCTCTGCGTGTGTCAGACAGTTCCCCCAAATTTTTTTATGTCAGAGATGTTTATTAAACAAACACTCATTGCTTCTTTTCCGCAGGGATAGGGCTATTTTTGTCAGATCATATCACATATTGTTGCACATCTAATTTTTAACTTATTGGTCCTCAGCTTTTAATTATTTTGTCAACTACTGCTACAAACCTAACAAACCCACTTTGATATAGATTGAAATAAATAAAAAAACTAGCAAGTAAATGTTTGTTAATAACCAGGCCCTTCAAAATTTGTTAGAATTAGAGTAGCTCAAAAACTTAAGTAAATGACAAAAGCCCATGTGGTTTTTTTTTGTATTACGTAACTGCCATTAATTTTTTTTTTACAAAAACTAAATACATATTAAAACCCAAGAAAATAAAACTAAACCTAATTACAATACAAAAAAAAGATGAGTCCTTGCTCTCAAAGTTCAGCCGCCGGGAAAAAAAGAGAGAGGTTTGTGTGGTGCTTCCTTCTATGGTGGAGATTAAAACCCTCGTCATCTACGGCGATGCTTGTCCGATGATCTTCTTCAAGAAATTCAAACTGAAACACTCTGGCCATGTCACCGTCCCAATCTCCTCCGTCTCCGTCGTTTCCACTTCCTCATATCCGAATCAAGAAGCTTCGCATCTCAGATTCTTCCTCCTCTACGAAGATTCTCTTCTCTAGGTAACATGATATTTATGCTAGTTTTAATAGAGAGTAACGTTTCAGGGAATTATATAAGATCTGTATTTCGGTATACATCCAAGCAATTGAGAGCTTAGGAGGTTCTCTTTCGGGATCTCAATCTTTTTAAAAAGAGTTTTGGGTTTTGTCTCTTGTTCAGTGATATATATATATATCTCTCTAATAACTAGTTATATTCTTTATTCACTTGTGTTATAATTACATACATGAAAGAGTTCCTTACATCAACAGGAAACATACTGGAAACTTGAGGAAGCTCATCAGCTTTCTTTCCTTCCTTTGACAACAGAATGGACATTATTCAGCCAATGTTGTCCATTGATAACATGGTTGCACTATCTTGCAGGTATCTAATAACATGGCTGCACTAATATGTTAGTTTTAATCTGCCACTAGGTTTAAATCTTATTCCACCCTTGGTTGTAGGTTATGTTAGTTTCTTGTGCTGCATGAACTCTTGTGATTCTACAGCCATTAATTTTTCAATCAAACTTTTTAGCTTTTATTTTTTTTAAAGCATTGAAAGTCATTTTTTGGAAGCGTTAGAAACCTTTCCACAAGTTTATAAAATATATTTTTATATTTTATTCTTTATAAATTAATTACTCTCATTTTTTTCTTGTTCTTTTAATATCCATTTCAATAATAACTATTTTTATTTTCACCATCATCAATAATGATGATGTAAAAGAGTTATGAAATTTATGTTTATATAGGGAGTAATTAGTCATTAATAATCAAAAAGTAGTCATTAAATTGTTTTATAAATTCATTTCTACAATAATTTATATTTCTTATTAATATAAAATAATAACAAATATAATAATAAATAACAGCCGTATGTCACGGATTTGATCGTTTGGAATCAAACCGTGTGGCCCTAGATTCTCTTTGTCTCGAATAAATGGACTAGGCAACTTAACTCCCCACAAGAAATCCGACCCAAAATGGGTGTTCATGTAATTGGGTCGTGATATCCTCCCCCACCTAATTCGGCGACGTCTTCTTCGTCTTAGATGACTTTAGTTTCTCTAGGAATTTCCATAACTCGTCTTCTGGTTCTCATGAAGCCTCTGCTTCTGGTAAACCCTTCCATTTGATGAGGAAGTGTGTTCGCCGGGGAACACCACATTTCCGAACCACTTTTGACGAGAGTACTTCCTCAATCTCTTTGTCGTAAGACTTCGTCATAATTGGTGGTGCTTGAGACGACACTCCACGATGTTTGTCCTCGACGTCTCCATGATATGGCTTGAGCATACTCACATGGAAAGCCGGATGGATCTTCAAAGTTCCAAGTAGATCTAGTTTGTATGAAACTTTCCCTATCTTGGCTATTACTTCGAATGGCCCCTCATATCCTCAGAGAAGTCCCTTGTGCATACTCCGGAAAATTTTGAATCGTTGGGGAAGAAGTTTCACCATGACTCGATTACATACTTTGAAATCCAATGGCCCTCGTTTCTCATCGGCCCACTTATTCACACGCTTTGCGGGATTTTTCCATGAAAAGCCGGGCAAAATCCGTAGGATCTTCCCATGTGTTTGCCATCTTCTACGCTCCCGGACTTCATATCTCATTTCACGAAGCTTACCACAAAATTTGGTGCCGATCAGATAACATATTAAACCACGATCGTACTTACAACCTCTGCAGGTCCCACTTTGCCACAGAAAAGAAGTCTTTCATCAAACTTTGGATAAGATTTGATACGTCGTAACCCTTTTCTCCCAAGATGTGACGAATCAACTTCTTCTTCTTTATACACCAAAGCAAAGCTAACCCTCTCCTTCTCACAAGTGAACTTCTCCTTCTCCTTTTCACTATCTCTTTTCTTAGATTCAAACAACGACTGTAAAAAAGAGAGAGGGGGAGTTCTTAATAAAATAGGATTTTTGGTTTAATTAATCAAATTAAACCATGATTTACCTATACCGATACCTTCCTTTGATTCAATTAACAAATCGACCAGCTTAGAAAATCATTTGGTAAATTCATCTTCTTCATTTGAAACACCAAGTCTCGATCAGAAAAATTCAGAATTTGCAACATGAGGGTTGTGAACTCCTTCACATAGTCGCTCATCATACCCTTTTGCCAAAGTTCTCTTAGCATCCTCCATGCCTCATACACCACATTCTCAGGGTAGAATTGACGCTTGAGCTCCTTCTTGAACTCCTCCCAAGTGTCTACCCGACATGTGCCCCGCTAAATGTCTGCATAGTACCTCCGCCACCGTAACATTGCCGTATCAGTAAGGTACAATTTGGTAGCTTTTATCTATGTAGTCTCGACTTCGAGCCAGAGATTGTCAAAGTACTGCTCCATTTGCCACAAGAAATTCTCAACTTTTTGGCATCTCGTACCCCATCTAATAAGGATGGTCGCGGATAGTCTAGTCTACCTGAACCTGCGTTGCTAGTCCCCGCACCGGAAACTGCCTTCATGCAAAGGTAAGGTCGTTTTGCATCGCCTCGATGCATACTTGCAATGCTTCAGCCGTTTCCATCATCTTCTCTTCCAGTTGGATGAATTAACTCTCAATTTCCCCCATGTTCTCCTTGATTCCACGAAGCTCGGAGAACACAGTTTTTCCGAGTTCAGTGGCTAAGTACTCGATACGGTCGACCCTCTCCCCCAACTCGTTCACCACGGCACCCATGGATATGATCTCATTACGAACCCTGCTCTTGTCGCGCTTACTCGTCTTCCTCAAAGCATTGGCGTCAACGGTCTCCGCCACTGGGTAACAATGTCTTCATCACGACCCACCATCTTTTAGTAACTTCCTTTCGTTTGAACGAACCTGGCTCCGATACCACGTGTCACAGACTTTAATCGTTTGGGATCAAACCGTGCGGCCCTAGACTCTCTTTGTCTCGAATAAATGGACTAGGTAGCCTAACTCCCATCAAGAATTCCAACCCTTCATGAGAAAAGGACCTAGAATGAACGAAAACTCGAGAAAAGACAAGTAATTACTGAATCGCTCTATTATTGATAAAAATGATGGATGATTACAAATCAGGGATCTCACCCCTATTAATACAAAGTCTTTTGAGACTCCTTCCATAAAAAGGCTGAAAATGCCAAGTGTTTAGTGGGTTTCCTTCATTGTCCGGCCCGAATGGGTGTTCATGTAAATGGGCCGTGACACGCAGCTTTAAAAGTTGTTCATTACCAATCATATTTTTACAGTAAAATTTTAATAGCCAAAGCATCTACAGCCAAATTCTTAGCTACTAAAATTTTAAAGTCAAATTCTATCCAGCCAAAAGTAACAATCGTTACCAAAAGTAAAAATCTTGATCCCACATGATTTTCAAGTCACCTCTACTCCCTTTAATTAGTATGTTGCTTATTGGATTCGCTGATGTTAAGTTGTTGGGGCATGTTTGGATCAGTTTGATGCATGTTTGATCTATCAAACTGGTTGTGGCTTTGCATCATTTCACTTGCTGACATCTTAAGCTGCTTGACTTCCACAGTCAGTCGTTTGTTATCAGCCTGAACCATCTTCAGCGATTGGGCTTCTACTATCACTTCTCCAGTCAACGTTGTTGTCACCTTTAGCCAATCGATTTCTGTATGCAATCGAATCATTTGTTTATACATAATAAAAACAATTACTAAAGAACTAGCCAAAAAAATATTAAAAATAATTAAGATGACGTAACATTATAGGTTTTTGTCTCTTGCTCTAACGATTCAAGTCTAATCTTGAATTCCTTCTTCTCATTATCCATCAATGTTTTATCTTTCTGCATGCAACAATAATATAAGTTCAAAAATTTCCTTACATGAACATTTAGACATGACAAAGTTTATGGTTCCCAATATGACATATGTCTCACCTCTAAAATCGCCATCTTATTAGTCATTAAAGCATTCTCCTTCTCAAATTTTTTTGTTCTTCTTTCCAACTCGATAATTGTAACAACCCATCCCGTGGGAACCCCTGCCATGTGGCGGAGTCCCACAGGACAGGGTGTTACTTGTGCCTTTCTGTTTTTTTGAACGTTGAGCTGACTCTCTTTTGCTAAGATTCTAACAAACCAAACATTGTATGATAAAAAAACCAAACATTGTATGCTAAAGAAAACCATACCTTGTGACTTCTTAAGGATCATTTTGAACCCTTGCAAGTTTGGGACACTTCGAAATCTTCTCCAATTTATCAGCAGTATACACATCTTTGGTAAACTCGAGGTCAACAGTATTCTCATCTCCTTCAACCAAACTAGTAAGGGAGATATAACTAGGAGAAAGAAGTATGTTCAGTAACTCATGGAGACAAGTTTCCATCGATACACTTTGTTCGTGTCCTCTTAAAGGTTCAATGCTTTCGCATTCAGCTTTTCTCTTCACACTCAAAGTATTCGACCGAGAAAGGTACATTGATCCTAGTGGATTATGTCGGACTGGACGACGAAGAAGGGCTCAATGACCGCAGGAGGAGTAAACATATGACTGCTGAGTCATCGACCTTGCTTTGGGAGGAGTGGTATTGTCGCCTCCATTTGTCTACATAAAAATATCAAAGTTATGTTTCTGTGCATAACACAGTTTTTCTTACGACGGGAAAAAAATCTAATAGATAAAAAGAATGTGGAAAATAAAATCAGTTTACTATGATTAAAATTATTGAAGATCATTTACTTTCAAAAGAGTAAAGAGAAAATAAAATTAAAACGGTAACCAAAGAGTGAAGATACTCTACCTTAGAAAAAGAAAGTGTCTGAGAAACTAGAATGTGATTGTTCTTTGCTTTGATAGTTAGCACGAGCCTTCTTTTATAGGTTAGGAACTACTGCAATAATTCTCTTTCTTCAATCTAATATTGTCAATAAAATATGGATATCTTATAAATTTTGAAGTCAAAACACTTGAATAGACTATGTGTTGATTAGGTAGTTTAATGAAACTTTAGAAAGTTAAGGTCGTTGTGTTTCACGATTGACTTAATCTTAATTAATTTTTATTTTTGCTACTGATTGAATCTTAATTAATTTTTATTTACACAATTGACTTAATCTTAATTAGTTTTATTTTAGAATAGAGTCATTCTTAATTGATTTTTATTTTCGGGGTTGAATCAAAATATTAATTTTCGCTATTAATATTAATTAATGAAGATTGAGTCAATAGCGAAAATAAAAATTAATTAATATTTTGAGTCAATCGGGAAAAGAAAAATAAATTAAGAATGACTCAACTACGAAACTAAAACAAATTAAGATTAAGTCAATTATGTAACTAAAAATTAATTAATATTGAATCAATAGCGAGAATAAAAATTAATTAAGATTGAGTCAATTGTTAAACACAATGACCTTAACTTGATAAATTTTTATTAAACTGCCTAAATAACACAGAGTTTATTCAAGTGTTTTGATTTCACAATTTATAAGATATTTTATTAACAAAATAAGATTAAAGTAGGAGAATCAGTTTAGTAATTCTTAAGCTATAAAAGGACGTTCGTGCTAATTATCAAAGCAAAGAACCATCAAATTCTAGTTTCTTAGCAATTTTCTTTTTAAAAGGTAGAGTATCTTTTTTCTTTGGTTAACGTTATATATATTTTTCTCTTTACTCTATTGAAAAAGAATGATCTTCGTTCATTTTAATCGTAGTGAACTTTTCTCTTTTTCCCCATTCTTTTTATCTATTAGATTATTATTTTCAGCCGTAAGAAAAAATAAGATATACGTAGAAACATAACTTTGATATTTTGATGCAGATGAGTGGAGGCGGCAATACCACTCCTCCCGAACCACGGCCGATGACTCAGCAATTACCTATTAACTCTTTCTTTCCGCCTTGGAGCCCTTACCCGTTGTCAATCCTTCATCATCTACTAGGATCAGTGAGCCTTTCTCTATCGACTACTTTGAGCGTGAAGAGAAGAACTGAAGGCAAAATCATTGAAACTTTAAGCAGACACTACCAGAGTGTTTCAATGGAAAACGATCTCAATGACTTCTTGAACATACCTCTTTCTTATGGTTATATCTCCTCCAGCAGTTCAGTTGATGGAAATGAGAATACTTTTGCCTTGACTTTGTGAACGACGTGTACACTACTGATGAATTGGAAAAGATTTCAAAGCGTCCCCAACTTGCAAAGGTTCAAAATGATCCTAAGAAATTCGGAAGGTTTGCGTGACTAAATTACTAATCCTTCTTTTATTTTTCCTTTTTAATCATACAATTTTTGGTTATCTTTATCATACAACATTTGTTTTACATCATAGAATGCTGGGTTTTTACGAACTACTGAAATGATTCTCCTTCTTCAATTTAATATTGTCAATAAAATATGGATATCTTATTAATTTTGAAGTCAAAACACTTGAATAAACTACGTGTTTATTAGGTAGTTTAATGAAAATTTATAAAGTTAAGGTCATTGTGTTTCATGATTGACTTAACCTTAATTAATTTTTATTTTTGCTATCAAATCAATCTTAATTAATTTTTATTTACTTAATTGGCTTAATCTTAATTAGTTTTATTTTCAAAATAGAGTCATTCTTAATTAATTTTTATTTTCGCGGTTGACTCAAAATATTAATTCTGCTAATAATATTAAATAATTAAGACTGAGTCAATAGCGGAAATAAAAATTAATTAATATTTTGAGTCAATCAGGGAAATAAAAATAAATTAAGAATGACTAAACTACGAAACTAAAACTAATTATGATTAAGTCAGTTGTGTAAATAAAAAAAATTAATATTGAATCAATAGCGAAAATAAAAATTAATTAAGATTGAGTCTATTGTGAAACACAATGACCTTAACTCTATAAATTTTTAATAAACTGCCTAAATAACACAGAGCTCGTTCAAGTGTTTTGACTTCAAAATTTATAAGATATTTTATTAACAAAATAAGATTAAAGTAGGAGAATCATTTTAGTAATTCTTAAGGTATAAAAGGAAGCTCGTGCTAACTATCAATGCAAATAACCATCATATTCTAGTTCCTTAGCCATTTTATTTTTAAAAGGTAGAGTATCTTCTTTCTTTGGTTAACATTATAACTTTTTTTCTTTACTCTATTGAAAAAAATGATCTTCGATAATTTTATCGTAGTGAACTTTTCACTTTCTCCCCTTCTTTTTATCTATTAGATTTTTTTTCAGCCGTAAGAAAAAAATAAGTTATACCTAGAAACAGAACTTTGATATTTTGATGCAGATGAGTGGAGGTGACAATACCACTCCACCCGAACCACAGCCGGTGACTCAGCAGTTACCTATTAACTCTTTCTTTCCGCCGTGGAGCCGTTCCCCGTCGTCAATCCTTCATCATCGACTAGGATCAGTGTGCCTTTCTCCATCGACTACTTTGAGCGTGAAGAGAAGAACTGAAGGCGAAAGCATTGAAACTTTAAGCATACACTACCAGAGTGTTTCAATGGAAAACGATCTCAATGACTTCTTGAACATACCTCTTCCTTTTCTGTTCTCTTTTTCTTTTCTTTTTTACTTATTAAAAAATCCCAACCAATCAATAATTTTTTAAAAATATTTAAATTGACTGCAGCATGAATTATGACTTTGAATTCATCGGATCGGTCAGATTGTTCTGATCAAAATGCATTCCATGAACCTTATAAAACTATTGGCATACAAACGTCATATGGTTGGTGTCATTACTTATATCTCAAAGATGATTAGGGACACCATCAATCTAGTGATATCATTGTAGATTTGAGATGGTTAAGAATCTTTCTTTCTCGTTTCAATCGTCGTTACAGTCTTTCACTTTTGTCGTCAAGAACAAACTCTCCTTCCCCATCATCACCACCATTTCCTTCTCCACCGCCACCATATTCTCCATTCACATCACCATCACCTCTTCGGTCACTAACATACAATCCACCAAAACTACCGCAATCTCTGCTTTACTACACTCACTCTCCACATTCACCACAGTCCTTACCCTCATTGCCAGTAGTAGACTCTTTTTCTCGTCACAACCACTATATCATATAACAATATATCATGATATATAATTATATCTTTGATATATATTTATGTATCCCGATACTTTAACATATATTATACTATATATTTACATATCATATTATATATTATGAAATATATTAGTATATCATAATATATGTTATGATATATCGATATATCCTAATATATATTGATAGATCATATGTAACTATAATAATATAATTTTACGATGTCTAGTATATATCTATGTATCATGTATATATTAATAAATCTTGTCATAATCTTACACATTGTGCTATATATTACCTAAAAAAAGTAAGAGATAAATAACATGTCGGTTTTTCCTTGAGTATTTTCTCTATCTTACTCTGCAAAAAGACGAAATATATTGTTTTTTCTTAATTCTTTCTCAAAATATTACTATAGATTTAATTGACACATTTTTATTATCTATTTAATATCAATATACCATTAGCTTAAGACTATAATTTACCCGACAAATATGTTGAATTTTCAGTCACATTCCACATTTATCTAGTAACTTTTAAAAATCAGATTTAAATTTCACGCTTTCCATCTTGTGAAAAAGTATATTACATCATAATAAATTTTGAATTTTAGTTCTATGCACTACCAAGGATTAAAATAATTGATTTGGCCACCTATATCACTATTGTGCACTTATCATTTCAGTGAAATCTTCTAAAAAAATTTCACTGTTAAGCGTGCTAATTGTCACGGGCTTATTTCAAAAGACTGTGCGGCATTCGATATTACCCATATATTATTGAGTTAGCTGTCATACCTCGGACCATCTTTGACTGGTTTTGCCCTGCCTTGGGCTCATCAGGTGAAGCTCCAAATCACGACCCGTTTGTTCAGGGATGACATAATCCCTTATTCTAAGCCTGCTCCTCGATCAGCAACGGACACCCAAACCTATCGAGTGGTTCCCGCATGACTCCTTTGAAGGGACTCGACAACTCGAGTCATGCACGCCCTCCTCAATGAAGCACGATACCTGTCCAGTCATAATGGCCCCGTGGAAGCAACGCGACAATCACGAACCGTTCCATAAAAACGGGCGTGACATCCTTATAATGCCCCAACTCGATTTCTACTCCATCAAAACATTATTCATTTTCCGACCAAGATTCCGACAAGTCATTGTTAAGCATAAAAACGAATTCTTGCATTAATAACAAAGGTTCTAGTACAACGGTAAGTTTGCTATAGGCTATTACATCGTTTTACTACTCGACCAACATGAAACTACCCAAATAAAAACCATCCTTCACTTCTTGCCTTAGTCTCGTGAACTGATTCCAACATTCCCCTTACCCTTTCCTGCATCACAAAGAATGCGTAAGCAAATGAATTTGCTTAGTGAGAACGGTCTTCCCGTCTCACCAGGCCATAATCAAACAATCGCATTCAATACATCGAAACATATAGTCAATATTGCAAGTCAAGAACAGAAACTTGTCAAGCATAACTATCCAGAGTTACTGAGCAATCTTCCCGCAACCGAACAAGCCTCAACGAGCAGCTCTGCTGCTAAGCGCATTGCCGATTTAGATTCTCGAGTAAACCAAACCAATCATCGAGACTAAGCAGTAGATAATCAATACATGACAAGCAAACATTCTGAATAAACAAGACAATCAAAGAATAAGTGAATCGATGCACGAAAACGACTCAAGATTCATAGCCACGGTCGCGCACTCACCGTAATCTCTTGGATATAGATTTTGACACCTCTTGATTCTCGGGTTCTCACTAACCTCTCGAACAATTCACTGAAAACCCATACAACATATCAGATCATTGTTCCCTTAGATGATAAATAAAATATAAAATATCGATAAACACAAATGTATTGATATTTACCTAAATTACTCGACCAACACATCAACTGCTCAAACAGATCTTTCGATGAACTGCTTCTCACCAGAAATCTACGACAAACAGAACAGATCACCGATACACTTCGATACAACTAAGTAATTATCGATAAAACACCTAGTTTCTTGATGATTACCTTGAATACTCGACAATCGCTGCACATCTTCGACAATCTCACTCGGTTCTTGATAGTTACTCACAGTTTCTCGACAAATCTCTCTAACTTTCAGAGTTCTTAAACTTTTTTATCACCGATCAAACCCCTTTTATAAGCAAGTCAAAACAATTAAAGCGCTCGATAACCGTCCACTAACTCACTCCGCGTCTTTTCTCTCACGCAAATAACCGTTCCCGCGTTTTCGTTCGAAAAACATAACTGTTTCTGTCAAACATTGACAGAACACGCAGATCATCGATCTGGTTCGAGACGTACGCACGGATCTTGTTCATCGATCCCCGAACGTTAGCTCTACGACGAAACTATTCTAAAAACCCGGATGTCCGAATAACCAATAACCTTATGCGAAAAACACGAAGTTCAGCTCAAATATCAGCTTTTGCTCTCAACATTCGGATTCCCATCGATAAATTCTTGAAACTCAGACAAAAGATCGAGTATAATCGGATTCCATCGACCATAGGTAAGTGTTCAGTTCGATAAGGGTAGCAAACATACCCCTAGGAACCATGAAGACGGTCGCTATAGTTCTCCCCCACTTAGAATGGATTTGTCCTCGAATCTAAGCTTTTTTTCGTGGAACCTTTTGCTTCTCAAACCATTTCTTGAAGTTTACGTTAATCACTTCTTTTGGTTCCCAAGTTGTTTGCTCTTCACCGCACAATCCCAAACGACCTAAATGAACTTAACCTTTTTCTTACAACCTGTCCGCAACTTCCTACCCAAAATCTGAACTGGTCTTCCCATTAAAGTCATATTCTCTTGCAAATCCAGTGTCGGTTCAGATATGACATTCTCCCGATTCGTTATTCATTGCCTTAGCAACGAAACATGGAACTCTTTATGAAAAGCATCCATTGCCGATTGCAATTCCAGCTGGTACGCGATAGGTCTAATATTTTCCTGAATCCGGAACGGTCCCAGGTACCTTGGAGTTAACTTCGTATTCAAGGATGTTCGATCCTTCCCCTTATACGTGGCTGTCTTGAGATAGACCAAATCTCCCACATCAA